TCAAGCGCCGATCATGGTGATGTGTGGGCCGTCATAATAGCCGATGGTCTCTCTCCGCTGGTATTAATCGACCGTGGCATCAGAATAAATGCCGAATATTATCACGAAAATATTCTGGAGGGTATATTAAAGCCTTGGGCATCGTAGAATGGTTACAATATGAAGTTCCTCGCTTCATTTCCAACGCACAGCGGCCGCCAAAATGTCCGGATACCAATCCGTTGCACTATTGTGTCTGGAGTATTTTAGCCAATGGTGACCAATTCGAAAAAATCTAAACTTATTCTAAAGTTGATGCTCTTTCTGACATTCTTTGCTTCCACTCAATAAAATTAAAAAAAAAAATGTAAAAATTATGGCATTTGGCATTTGCAGATTTTTTTATCTCACCCTGTAGTTCCCTATTGCACACAAATCGTTTACCCTCTGAACATCAAACCCAAAATCCCCTTCGGGCCCCCTCCGAAATGGCTACTTGATTGGAAATTTTTGTATATTTTACATAGAACATTTAATTTTTTGAAAGGGTTTCGAAATACACTTCCTGTCCTTGGCACTCAAAAGTCTCAAGTTCAAATACAAATGAGCACAGCACTCACGTATACTTAATTTCACATGTTCTTTGACAGATATAGGGTTAAATTTGAGAATTTTCCGCAAAAACACATTATTATTATTATTTCTTTGAAACCCAAATGTTTCTCTATATAAAAATCCTTAGTCCTGTGCCGACAAAAAAATCTTTTAGATGTAAACTTGTTTGAACGATCATACCCAATTTGATTTTGAGTTTAATGACGATGATTTGGGCATTCATAACAACACTAAATAATTTTAACCCGTTAGGCGTAATATCATGTCGCCTTTGATTTCTCTCCCATGTATTGAGTCTAAATTTTTCGTAGTTACGGAAATTTGCCCTGCCCAGGCAATGTAATTTATTATTCACTATTAAAATGATTCAATTTTTCTCACGTTTTGAAGTTTATATGGTCACATTCTAACAAATACACTAATGTCGATTTAAACATATATTTTTCACTTAATCCCAAACTATAAAAATATTTGTTTTCTGATTGAATATCATCGAACTTGATTTAAATCAACTGGATCACAGTAACAAACCAAGAGTTATTTTCAACTATCATTTCAATCTGGACATGACAATTTAATAAACCGTTCAGCATATTTTTGACATCAGCAACAACTCGTTCACAGAAATGAAAAAAGAAATAACACCATAAACGAATAAAATTCATAATTCAATCAAAAATTTGTAGCCGGTGTCAAATCAAACATTTGTCGCCACATGGGAGGATGATGGCGACATGGACATTTTAAACATGGATTTGGCAATTGCATATTTTAGCCATGTCTGTGAAATGAAAATAGTGGGAGAATCGAATAGACCACACTCAAACATACACAGGCATACCAAGGACGTTAAACAAATTAATTTTTCACAAATCCCAAAGGGGCGGATGAGTTGCTTTTTTATTTTGGTTAAATTACAATAACTTAAAATATCATGCAAACGTCACTTTGTCGTCGTGGTTGTTGTTGCCGCTGCTATTGCAATAAATAAATAAATACTGGGGGGACAAATTGTCGAAGGATTACAAGTGTTGCCGAGCTGGGCTCATATGCCAAATGACAGGTGGCAATATTTCGGCCCTAAATATGAACATCCACTTTTGCATTCGAGCAATTAAAGAAAATACGCCATAAAAAGTTGACTGTTGTGCACACCGTTGCCGCTGTTACTGCTGACAAATGCCATAAGGCTAGATTTATGTATTTACTGAAATAACCGCTGTCACAGCCACTTCCACCAACACCGCCACCAAAAACAAACATCCCAATGCAAGCAGATAAAAACATTTTTACAACTTTAGCTGCAACCGAACAAGCTTTAGGACCTCTCCCATTAAGGATGACACAACTACTACTGCCGTTATTATTGCTGCGCACTTCGCAAAAAAAAAAACAGCATTGAAACGGAACCTGAATGCCAAAGCATTTTCAGGGTTGTGTGGGCGAAGGTGGCAGCAGTGCCCGGCCAAACGGAACATGTGATAAATGATGAAAAAGTTATGATGACTTTTTGCCAAAGGAGAAAAATTAATAATGAAAGTTATGCTGATGCATTGCCACAGTCCACACATTACACAAGTGGTTGTTTTTTTAATGGCAGAGGTCCATGGGAAAGGGTGTTGGTACTCTCTATTGGGGGGCTTGGTGGAAAATGGAAATGGAGGTTATGATTGTCTTACCGCAATGAAGGGAAGATGTGGTCGGTTATAAGTGTGTAGTTGTATATAACGTTTGAATGCATTATTTCTAATAGGCAACTGTTTGGCAAACAGCGCAACAAGCCGAGAGAGACTTTGAGATTTAAACTAGATCACCTCAGAAAGTGTAGTTTTGTGATTGTGAAATATGGGAAATGCCTTATACTTGGCTCTTGGCGATAGATTGTAAAATTTTCTATACTCGCAGTCAATTGTTTTAGGCCCTAGGTCTCTTTGGACCAAGTTAATTTCAGGACATTTGGACTCGATCTAAGGATGTCCGTCCGTCGTCCTTCTGTCTGTCTGTCTGCATGTTGCGCACAATAACTCGAAAGGAATATCCGATGTGGTCCAAACTTAGCATTTCGTAAAATTATTATCATTGAAATAAGAGTCCGATTGTTTTAAACCAATCTGGTGTGAATATCTCGGACGACATATATGAAATATATTCTTTTGGTACCTCCCCCACAAAAAATCAACACTTTTATTACTTAGAAAACTTATATAAAAAGTTGGCGATTCTTTTTAAACTAAGTATTTCTCAATATTTGATTCGATTCAAATGCTGGGAGAAATGTTCAAAAGTTGTATAGGTCAGTGGCGTCTCTACAAGACTACAGTTACCGATCTACAAGAGAGGACTTAGGCTTTCCTATAAGAATACCTGCATGCGTCCTATCGTCTAGAAGTTATTTGCATAACTTTATAAAAAAAATCTACAGACACGTCACTCAAGGACGTTGGGCAATTGGGAATGATTGCGAGTGTGGAAATAATTACACCAACCAACTATGAGCAGCTTCGAACGAAAAAGCATAAACAAAGAACACATATTCTCTCGATTTTCTTTTGCCATTGATTTGGCAGGGCAAGAGAGTATCTTACCACTACTAATACATATATTGTGAGCAAGGCTTCTCTATACCAACATTGCTCACAATACAATGGTTCGAAAAGTAAAGAAGCGACTTAATCGAAACCCGCGTCGAAGGGGCCGAAAATGGCTCGGAATCTGAACATATCGCAATATTCCATTCGGCAAATATTGAAAAATCAGCTCGGGGTAAAGCCATTGAAATTCCAATAAGTGCAAGAACTTACACCGCAACGAAAAGAAAATAGAACAAAAGAATTGCTTCGCTTGGCCGAAAGTGGTGAACTGCCGAATTTGGTTTTCTCTGATGAGAAAACATTCGTTGCCCAGCAGTTTGTAAAGAAACAAAATGGTCTGGTTCACTTGCCAAAGAGGTCAGCTGAAAATCTGCACCTTCGGTTGACCACCAGAACTCAATCACCGCCATAACAACCGACGGTCGCTCTCCGCTCGTATTAATCGACCGTGGTATCAGAATAAATACCGAATATTATCGCGAAAATATTCTGGAGGGTGTATTAAAGTTTTGGGCTCGCAAACATTTTGGCCGCAGACCTTGGACATTCGAAGAGAACTCAGCACCATCACACTCATCACGCGCCACCCAAGAATATTTAAAAAATTTCGTTCCCCGCTTCATTTACAGCACATAATGGCCACCAAAATCTCCGGATACCAATCCGTTGGACTATTGTGTTTGGAGGATTTTGAAAAGTAAGGTTGGCAATAAAAAATATCAATGTGTCGATCACCTCAAACAAGCACTTCGCTAGGACTGGGCCAAAATACCGCAGAGCAACATTCGGACAGTATGTGATGTTTTCATTGGCCGTTTGAAGGACATAATTCGTACCAAAGGTGACCAATTCGAACAAATCAAAACTTATTCTAAAATTTGATGCTATGTAAAAATTATGGCGTTCGACTTTGTTGCCTTTTTTTTATCTCACCCTGTATATGCATTAATAGTGGTAAGAGACTCTCTCGCCCTGTCAAATCAATGAAAATCGAGAGAGAATACGTGTGCTTTGTTTACACTTTTTCGTTGGAGGTTGCTCATAGCTGCTCTATACACGTCCAGCGGGTAGACTAAGACCAAACGAAATGCTGCATCTCTAGAACTGCTCAACTAAATCCCATTCAGCCTACTTTCAGTTTTCTTTTAATCCGGTCTAGGTTGCAGCCTTTCTGAGTTTCTAAACGGTGAAAACATATCGAGATCCACGAAAATCTCAGGCGACGTTGCAGGACTCACTCGCTGCTCGTCAATCGGTTCGTAATATGCTAATCGTATGTTTCCTGTTGACTCCTGGCAATTTGTTCAATTTGACCGATTCGTTCTCTCTACATTACCTACCTTTTAATCCATGTCATTCCTTTGTAGAAGAGTTCTGAACATCTCAAGGATACTACCGTTTAACTGTGTATCCATCAGGCAAGGGGTATCAATCAAATGTCAGCCAGCAGACAACAATCAACCAGTCAATCCAAATGCCTGCGCACATAATTTGATGCTTCGAAAACAATTTATATTTGCCTTAAAAGCCTCTGCCGCGTCGAATCGCTAATGCCGTATGCGTCATAAATCCAAAATGTACAATTTTCACAAATTTATCTCTCCTCTCCATTGGCACCCTTTTTAGCAAATATATAGTACGTATGTATGTATGCAAACTGTATGTACATTTTATGACAATCCTTTACTTATCCGACATATACCTACCTACATATGCAAGCATATAAATGAATGCTACACACACATATACACATGTATTTTTTCTATATTAAAATTAAACTTTTATCAAGTGATGAATGATGTTGCCCATACTCACATGTAAAATATTCTCAATGTAATAAAAACCAATGTGGTGACATCTGCAAGTTATCTGAAAAGTTCATTAAGTGAAAAAAAAGAAAGTGAAATTATTATCAAATGGAAAAAAGAAAAACCCAACAACAACAACAGCAACAACAAATAAATAAAATTTATTAATATTAACTGGCCTTAACAACAACTGCACAGCCACTGAACCGGGGAATCGCCAAGGCACACTACAAAAAATCACAAAGTTCAGAGTACACCACGCACACACCATCTATCCACCCTACACGCTCGCTTGTTCTATAAATATTAATTCGCTTTAATTTAAGGCAATTGTAGGCGAAGCAAGAAGATGTCTTGTCGCGCAACTACAGCTGCTCGTTGTTGGGCTGCAGTGACTACAACTATGGTTCGCACCATCATGCGCCGGACAATATTAATACTTATATATTGAATGACCCGCCTCGTCTATCGGTCCTTGGTAAGTGCAATTGAAAAGCCATTTCGAAATTGATGTACGTCGAGAGTAATAAACTCGAAAGTTTACAATTGACCGGCCCACCGAGCGGGCGGGCGAGCGATCCGTTGTAATATTCAGTCATAAAAGCGATGCACTCGTAAAATACGTAACTATGGCCATAAAAAAAACGGTGCCGGGCCGCAAACAACGACAGATAATAAAGTTTCCCTTCAATGAGGACTTTATTGCCATTATGAGTGTTTGATGTTGTATTGTTGCGACTGACAGGTGAAAGGAGCGGTCGACCATGTTGCAGATAACTAAATTTCGTCAACAAGGGGAACTTTATTAAATTGATTGCTGTTGTTGTCGACGTTGGGGAAGTGAAATAATTGTTTAAAACATTATTAACTTGTTACACACAATAAGAGTGAGGTTGAGGGAATACTTGGAGTACCATAACTCTCCCAGTAAGGGGAGATACATTTGTATTCCCATTAAATATTAGTTTTTTGGTTTTAATATTAAAATTTACGATAATTGTATGCATCGTAGTATTTGTTTATTTAAAAAAATGTTTTGATTTCACATTAATCAATGTTGTTGTATTCCGCCTTTTATCCGCATAATTAATATCTGTACATAAATGATTTGTTAGTAAAGTAAATATTATACGAAGGTATCAGTTTCGATTTTTTTCATATCCCAACGCTATGAAATTAATAATGTTTAACGAGCATAGGTTATATTTGCCAAGCAAAGAGATCAATTTTGCATCGTTCAAAAAAATGCAATAATTAATTTCATTAAAAAAAGCACAACCATTAATGGTTAAAATGAAAAAATATAAAATATGAAAAAAAATGTTTACATTGTGATAGGAGAACTACATCTCCGGCGATCAAATTCAAGCTATAACATTTAAATTAAATTTAGTGCATTAAATACTTTGTTAGGAAATGTACATGGTACCAAGGCCAAATTTGGAAGCTACATGAATCGAAGAATAGTCGAAGAAATCAACAAATGCGGAACAGACTCTTAGGGTCCGGACTACAAACCTGTGAGTTCTAGTTAGAGTTAGGAAACGAAAAAAATGTATCGTATATGCGCGCTATAGCAAAAAGTGGACCTAAATATTCAATGTTCTGCCACCAAAGGTAAAACCCATTATGAACTATAAATACCAATTTTTAGACAAATCCGTAGAAAAATGTGGTAAAAATCATAAAAATATTGAATATCGGAAGGTACCGTCATATGGCCGCTATACCAAAACGTGGACCGATATATCTCATTTTCAATACCAACTATCCTAGACACAATACAAATTATACGTTTTATATCTGCTGGTCGAATATCCAAAATAAGACCAAATTTCTCAGCAGAGGCAGTGGGATTAGCGAATAAGCGTGATGAGATCCGGCGTGCCAAACATACTGATCCCAGGATCAGTGAACTGACAGTGGAAGTCAACAGATGGGTCAGAAGTACAAGCGGAAAAAGTACCTAAACCATCTACAGTGTTCAGTGCATTGGAAATGATATAAGTAAACAGCGATGTTACGAATGCCATTCGAAAGGCTAAGTCATCCAAAGCAAGACGGAATTTCAATTGTAAAGTTGAAACAACTGGATACACCGGGAGTCGAGTATTATACTAAAGTCCTCAACCTATCGTTAGCCACCTATCCCGAAGCCTGGCAGATAGGCCGGGTGGTCCTGCTATTGAAGCCAGGCAAAGATACCAGTAAAGGCGAATCATACTGGCCAATTTCGCTTTTATCGCCAGTACTTGGGGCTTTACTCCTCCCCAACATTAGAGAAAGTTATCCAGTTGTCAACCCTCAACATGGTTTCCGTCCACAATACTGTACTACAACGGCATTGCAGCTGTACAGAACAGGCAGCCATAGGACAGTAGTATTGACTCTTGACTTATCAAAGGAATATGATACTGTGAATCATTCCACGCTATTCGAGGACATTGAAAACACGACCATCCGTCCGAGTTTTAAATGTTGGATAGTCAATTATATCCGGGATATTCCGAAATAAGAAGTCCAAGCCTCGTAAATTGAAACAGAGATCTGTTTTCGGAATTACGCGCCCTGCAAACGGCACTAAGATCGTTACCTATGCGGATCAATGTACTATCATGGCGTCAGGTCTTGCCGTTGAAGACATATGCGTCTGGGTAAACTGCTATCTGGCGGAGCTTGCCGCCTGCTTTCATGTGAGGAATATGAAAATATTCGCCACCAAATCAACGGGACATGAAATTCCGACCACTAATTACCCCAAAAACCTTGGGGTTACATTCTACAGCAAATTCAAATCGCTCGCGAAAACTACAACTATCCGCGATAAGTTGAAAAGTAGGAGCAAGGTCCTCATGGCCCTAACCAGCTGCACTTGGGGCGCAGATAGATTTTCTTGATCTCTTATTAAGCGATTCCGACTTATCTGTGGTTAGCTATGCGGCTACAGTGTAGACTGTGAATACGAGTGCAACACAATGGAAAAGTATTCAGATATACCAGAATCGCGCACTGAGAGCTACACCCTGTTGCCTTCTCATGACTCCAGTGAACCATTTACATGAGTAGATCACATATGCTTCATCAAGCATATGCTTTAGTTGCTGTAACTGCTCAGGTGTGACCGTGGGAGTTATTCTAACCATTACGTGGTGGACAGAACTGCTCAACGTCCAACGACACAAGAGAGATCATTATGATCAGGAAGTCAATTAGTCATATCAGTTAACCATTACAGTATTAATGTTATCCTCGAAGTTTACCGAAGAACATAGCCTGCGTGGATAAACTAGGCTCAACTACGTTTCAATTCATATTGGTAAGATTTGAGGATCTTATATTCTTATATTTCATCAAGATTTGGGGATCTTATATTTCTAATTGTCCTGTCAAACCTACCCAACTCTCTCCAGAGGATCTTTGGTAAAAGCCCATAAGAGTGGCTAATTTCCTAAGCCTGGTCTTTTGATGTTTATTTGCCGAGCAGATTGGAACTTAGGTTTTGAAGTACGACGCTGACAGTCATTACATGGTAATGTAAAAATAAGTTATTTTGGCTTGTAAATGTAATAGTACTTCTCAGTTCTCATTGAGCTTCCGTGTGTTTGCTGGGTTAGATTAAATTAACTCAAATCAAAAGAAGAAGAAAATAAAACTTAATTCCGATTTCGCTTGATTTCCTTTCCAAGTATTGTTTACAAATAAATATAACAATATACATAGCTACAAAAAAATTATTGTGTATTGGAGTCCATAAAAGTGGCGTTCGTTGATGTGGGTCCGCCTCTCATATGTACTCTCCAATTAAGGCCAATTGACCCAAAGGCAACGAATAAAAAGAAGATGTTTACCATAAAACATTTCATGTTATGGCTGGCTGGTTGGTTGGCCGGCCGGCACTGCCTCTCCCTCAATGCCTATCTATGCTATGCCAATACTATTGTTGTTATTGTCGTGGTTGTAACTCTATTGACCTTTTATGTTTGTTAGTCATCATCATCGAATATCGTCATGTATCTAGCCTTTATTACAGTTATGGTACAGCCTCTCCACGTTCTCTCTGGCCAATATAGGAATTTGACCTAAGCGTGGAGGTTAAGACCATTTCATAATCAATTTGTCGATGACTTTGTTACATTTTTGTGTCTTATTTCTACAGGCATGAGATTCATTCTGACATTAAAAACCAAAACTATTGTATTGTGGCATAGGTTGGTGGTATTGAAAAACAAGCAACGAATGGAAATTGGAGAAAATAAAAATTGAAACTAACACAAAGTTACAAATTATAATTTCAGTTTTTTTTTTCAACTATTAACTCTGTTAAATGGTGTTAAATAATTGTTTACATTTTGTTGCTTTTTCTTTTGTTTTCGTTCATTGTTGTCTGCAGAGTACAACAAAACTCGTTGCAAATCAATGAGCCCTAACGATAGAATGAGTCTACAAACGAATGAACGATAAATGTAACTAAAAACAAGGGAGCAGCAACCAACAAAAAATGCAATGAAATGTGCAAACTACTAAAAAGAACGATAGTCATTGAAATGTATGTGTGTGTGTGTATTGGAACATTAATGATAAATGGATGCGAAATCCGAAATCAATAAATGCTAAAAACAAAGAATAAGCCATGACACGAAATGCACACAGACATACACATAAGCACATTCGTAACAAAAAAATCAATATTACTGTGAGTGGTATAAAGGGTTGATCCGGCTGAGAAGGCCTGTTGGCTGGTTTGTGTGGTCAAGTGCATTTTTGAACAAGTTATACCCTCAGCCAGTGTTCGTTTATTCAAATATATTTTGACTTGTGTTATGATTATTCAAACTGTTGACCCTATATGGGGATGGTTCCAAAAAAGTGGGCCAATGCTGATATAAATATTACAACTTGCCAGATTTGGATTATATCGACTATTTCCTACAATTTATATGAGTTATATGATAATTCTTGGAAAATGTTTAAATATGCGTGAGTTATTAGATATGGTGGAAGTATTCCACTTCGTCTTATACTGATCAAAATATTGGGATGTGCATAAAGAAAATCGAAAAT